GAACTCCAGTGACATTCAGAGTTTTGTAGATTTGGAAACTTTCATCAGCAATCGGCTCGTAAGCATGAACATCATTGAGAACCGGAAATCTTCTCAGCCAACTCAAAACTATGCCATCCCAATCAAAAGGGTTTCAGTTTTCGACAGGAGCCGGCGGTTCCGTCTTTTAAATAAATCGTAAGGGCACCCACATGTTGCGGCGCAGGGCTGGAATAGCCTAAATTTCCTCTTACACTCTTTTTTCTGATCGCAGCGCAGCAGCCAAAAAAATTGTTTACAAGGCGGACATCGCCACCATACCTTGCTTCACTTCAGAACGCAGCAATGTGAGCCTCCGATCTTACTCGGCCTTACGTTACGTGCATTCCGCAGATATCCAACGAATGTTCATCGACATGCTCCCGACATGCATGTCAACTTATCTTATGGTGGAATGATCAAATCAAAATTGCCTAAAACAGCCAAATAACTGTCACTTTTGGCACTGCATCAGCAACATACGCGTGCTCCGTCAACTTGCTCACAACGAAAAATATGATCACAATATGAGTATGTATATATCGACGAAGTTGGGACTTAATCATCCACAGATTTTATTCGGCACTCCAGGCCAGCACATGGCTCAAACAAGAAATTTAGAAGTAAATTCCCAGGAGACTATTAAATTCCCATTGGAACCCACACTAAGACTTTTATAGATTCAAGGTTCGATTTGACATTCCGGCCCTCTTTACTAAACGTTAATTTCTATCAGTAGTCGCTCGCATCTACGATCCCTTAGGTTTTATTTTTCCTACTACTGCTGCCAAGAATATTCTAAGTCTGGCAGAGGTGAAGTCAAGTCACACCCATTAAGCCAGTGGCATTCCTTCGAATCAAACTCTCTGGGGCAGTGTTTATTGGCTACCCAATAGTTTAAATTTTTGAAAATTTCACCTACCGAAATTCCCGATCGACACTTACTATCAACCACTTGACCAAAATAAAGAAAAAAGAGGACAACTGACCCAAACATTGCAAACACCCAAAACATGTTTGTTGTGATGTAAACTTCACCCACCCACTAATTACTCATCATACAACAAACTGTTATTCGTTTTGGCTTACATCCGAAGATATCTGCATAACTCACGTCAACCGCAAGGCAATCGTGGGCACAATTCAAGTAGCAGAATTACGAGAAGTTCTCCACCAAATAATAAGGATGGTGCATAACGAAGCCCATTCTCCAGAGATCAGGCGAGTCCAGGGAAAAATCACATCGCCCTGAGCGCTCTTTGTCCGTTTTCAGACGATTTTTGGATTGTGTGAATAAAAGGGGAAAAAAACAAACCCCAACAAATATAAGCAATTTCCTTGGAGCAGACAAATCTCTTCGCATCAGGCAACAGGACTTTCGAAATGCCATGGACACGGATATCGCACCCACCACGTGGAATCCAATCCCATTTCCATCATAAAATACTCAAACGAATGGAAGATGGGTCGGATAATCGATTTGCATCCTGGAGAAGATGGCCTAGTTTGCGTCGCCTTACTGAAGACTGTCTCTGGAACCTAAAAGAAATCGTTTTCCAATCTGGGTCTACTATTGCCACCTATAGAACCCATATTGTGTTGATCCCAGCATTCCGGGGGCGGCATGTATGGGCGTTATTTTTTTTTTTTATTTATCGCTGCATCTTTTGTGAGCTTAAACTCCACCCAGATTTGTCCATGTAATCTCCACAAAGCTTAACTTTGGCTTTCTCTCCCCTTTGTAAAGTAGTTGTCTAAGAAGAGTCGTGGAGTAAGCAAGGCGATCGGAGTGGTGGATAAGGTTGTGGTACAAACAACGAGGGATGACCCATTCTCAAGTTGACCCATTCATAAATAAACAATTGTAACCTTACCGATATTAAGCAAAAAAACCTTTAGTAACTAGAAAGTGGCTAAATGAATTATGTTTTAAAGTGGTTTCCCGACTATATTATACCCGGTACTCATCTCTATCAACCAGATTTTAACTAACCTTAAAAGTTTTAAAAGTACGGTCTCTAAGAAAACATTTTTTGTCACGTTCAGAAGGAGAAGCATAATAAACAGTCTACAGTTCTATACAAATTTTTCGATTTTTCTTTGACGAAAAAATGCAATACATAGGTACATATTTAAAACTACACATTAAAAACTATTCTTACACGGCACGTTTCTGTCTTGTATTTAGTTTGAGCGGTTTTGTATAAATTTTTTTATAATTTAGTTTTGTATACTATATTGAATTTTTTCGTCACAGAAATGGATGTCAGATATTTTTTGGCGTGGCTTGCGGGTTTGTTGCGGGTTTTGGCGTGGCTTGAGGGTTTGCCTCGTCAAGATGTTTTTTTATTTGATATCAGGAGTTTTTTTTTGTTTACATAAATCGTTCATGTTTATTTTATAATGATACAAATTATAATAATAAAAGCAAGGCTCAAGTTTTTTTTGAGTTGATTTTGTAATTTTTGTTTTAAAACAAGAAAGTTAATGTAACCTCGGGCGGATCCGACGTTGATATACCCTTGCAGTTAAGATCGGAATATGTCGGAAAATGTCGAATATTTGGCCGATGCTCAAGTGTAATTCCAAAAGTCTCAAGCTTCTATCTTCAAAAATACTTAAGTTGGGTGGGACGAACCAATTGCTCAAAAATAAATTCCCTGGAAAATCTCTAATCTCGAACTCTTTGAACAAGAAAGAACGGTTATAGTCGAGTTTCCCGACTATGCTATACCCGGAATTCTTCTCTTTAACCCACAGTTTAACTAAAGTTTAAATGTATGAACTCTCAGAAAAAAATGGTGCCGGTATACTTTTGGGAAGTAGAATAAAAGTCTATAACTCCAAAAGTGGAAAAAATTTTAAACTGATTTCGTCAAGTGTATGTCGAGTAAACTAATAACCTTCGGGTATTATAGGAGTCTCCAAACCAAATCCTTTAGCTTTATTTGTTATAGCCTTTTCTTATAGATCCTCGCGCTTATACCGACAGACGGACATGCCAATATCGACCCAGCTGTGGATGATGATCAATTTATACTTTATGGGGTCGGGAAGGAATAATTTTTCTTTGTGACATACAGTTGCGGCAAAAAAAAATAGCACTGAGATGCACAATTTTCTATAATGCATTACAAATTATGTTTTTCTTTGAAATTGTATTGATTATTTTATTTTACATTATAGGCATACATGTTATCTCTATGAGAGAAATTGTATTGATTATTTTATTTTACATTATAGGCATACATGTTATCTCTATGAGAGAAGTGAATTAAATCTCAATTAGCTAAAGGTTTGTTATATTTTGGGCATTTTATCAAGTAAGATCCAAAAGAGAGCGGCAACAAAAATAGCACTAATAATGGTTTTGATCAAAGATTCAAATTTTTCGAAGTTTTTAGTTACTGATTACATTAGAGAGCATTGCAGTAACAGAGTTCTTACGAATTAGATCGTAAAAAAAATAAATATGGGTCTCAAAAGGCACTGTAGGGACGACCAAAGGATAATCTTTTAAAAACTTATTGAGGAAGGCAAAACGTATGCTCAGGTGGCGAGAATTGTCGGTTTCTCAAATAAAATGATTAGCAACGCATTAAAATATGTTTCGAAGGCAGAAAGCCGCGGTAGAAAGGTCGCCATGTCGAAATTGCAGGTCAACCGACTGGTTCGTGAGAGCAAGGAGTCGCCCTTTAATCCGGCTACTGAGCTAAAAATGGAGCTAAATATTTCGTCATCAATTAGAACAGTTTCCCTTTGGAGTGTGAAGCATGGGGCAAGTTGGATTTTGTTTGCCAAAGAACATCCGAATTGGCCGGCAGAAAAATGGAGAAATATTTTTTGGTCCGATGAAAGCAGGAAAAGGATCCTGAATTTTGAATTTTGATGAATTTTGAGGAAAAGGATCTCGTTCATATGTAAGGCGACCCCAAAATTCGAAATACCGTCCCAGTTTTACGTACAATACCATTAAACCCGGTGGAACCAGTATTATGGTTTGGGCATGCTTCTCGTATTACGGAGTTGGTCCCAATATGGTCTAATGGATCGACTCGTATAGTCCGAAATCTTGAAAAACGTCATGCTGCCTTATGCTGAGGATGAAATGCAATTGTTATGGGTCTTCCAACAGGATAATGACCCAAAGCATACCAGCAATAAAGCTCGAAAGTGGTAAGAAGACAGAAATCTCCATGTAATGGATTGGCCAGCTTAGTCCCCAGACCTAAATCCTATAGAAAATCTGTGGTCTGATGTGAAAAAATTTGATTCAAATACAAATCCAAAAAAAAATAAGGGGCTTTGAGCTTTCTGTCAAGGAGACTTGGAGCAATATCCCACTGGAAAGGGGCCAAAGATTGGTAAATTCAATGCCGAGACATTGTGAAGCTGTCATTTCTGCCAAAGGCTTTAAAACAAATTATTAATGCATTTTTTAGATAAAGATTACAATCTAAAATAATAATTTGAATACTTTCTGGTTGTTTCCATGTTTTTTTTAAGTTTTTTATGTTTTCAAAAAAATAGTGCTATTTTTGTTGCCGCGTCAAATGCTCAAATTTATCATTCTTACTTAAAAATTTTCTAAAGTTTGTTAAAATCGAGGTCGAGTTCGCTATATGTTGTTTAATTATAACCTAATGTTTATAAAAACTCCATTAAGAAGCCAAAAAAACAAAAAAAAGTTTTCAAAAAAGAAAATTGTGCATCTCAGTGCTATTTTTTTTTGCCGCAGCTGTATATTCACAAGAATACAATGAACCCTTGTTCTCTACGAGTACTGGGTATAACAATAAAAGAAACCCACGAACCTCCCAAATCTTTGCGGTATTGCGGTCTTATAAAGATCCCTTGTGGCTCAAATAGGTGCCGTGGGCTATCGACCAAGTTTCTAATAATTACCCTATATAACTGAAAGGGTACTTCATTTAACTACGGTTTCGCCTAAAATTAGCTTTTCTCTTTATTTTTTAACTTACTCTAGGGCCAACATTTGGAGAGCTCAAAATGGTGTTTTCTGGTTTAGTTTGAGTGTGACTCTTTATTATATTTGAAGCATGATTTGCGTCCAGCTCCATGAAAATACTGCGCGATGCTTTTCCTATACCTGCGCAGAATATATTTTTCAATCAATGAAAGCAGTAATTATTTATACATACCTGATTCGAAAACATCTGCATCCGCTTTTAAGGGTTCTTTACTAGATTTTTGATTTCTTTTCTTAAACAGTTCACCATTTTCGAATCGGTTTTTTATTAATCGTGTTTCTACCGTAACATCTTCATTCGGGATTTTACCCGCTGATGTTATACCTTGCTCTGATTCAGCAACTGCCAACTGATACATTTCTTTTATTTTAGCTTGTTTACCCATAAACAGGCGAGAGCGTATGTTTTGTATTTCTTGTTTTGTTTCTTCGCGTCGTTCTTCTTTTGCCAAAACCTTACCAAGTTCAAATCTTGTTCTTATGTCTTTAATTGCATCCCCTAATCCTGCAGGGCTGTCCTTTTTTACATGTTTTTCAGATCGTATGAATTTTACGTCGTTTTCATCATCGCTTCCAAAGTTGTCTGCGCAAATTTAAATTATAGTATATTTCATATTATAAAAAATAAAAGTATACGATGTTTGAAAAATTAATATTTTTTTTAATATAATGAACTTACTATTTAAAACATCAAAATCTCCACATTCTTTTAAAATCTCGTTTCTTATTTTAGGGCCATTTTCGAATGCCATAAATTTTGACCGAACATTTATATGATGTAGCTCCTCTAGTCCTAGGTTTGGCTTATCGGATGCTGTAAGATAAATAAAAATTTATTCAAACAAATGTATAATATTATTCTTCTTTTTCTTAGCCAGAAGCATGCAAAATTTAAAATATTTTTAAAACCAATAAATTATCTAGTTTTTTTTTTTTAAATAGTTGTATTGTAAATTGTAACTTGTATTTATAGAAAATAGAAAATAGCTAAATCAAAATAAATATTCGTCAAGAAAATTTAATTTGTTGTATATACTTAAGTTCATTGTATAATTAAATTAATTAGAAATAAATAAAAACTAAGCCGAAGCCGAGGAACCGAATACCAAAACAAAACAAACTTAAATGTTTAAAAAAAGAAAAAAAATCGATTAAATATAAAGTTTTCAATCACTTCTCTATATAGTAGACAGCGCAAATTGAAACAGCACCTGGATTTAAGTTTGAAATGACTTAAGGGCTACCAATCCGAATAGAGGCGATTTGTCAATAACTTCCGCAAAATTGATTTTATTTTCGTACGGATAATTTTTTACGATTTTGGGCCAAAGGACATCTCCGATCCTATAAAGTATGTATATTCTTGCTCAGGATCACCTCCTTGGTGAGTTGATATAAGCAAGTCTCTCCGTCTGGCCGTCCGTCCGTCCGTCTGTCCGTCCGTCTGTCTCACAGTGGTCGATTTGACCTCGCTAGCGGTATTTAATTATGATTTTCAATTTAAAATAAACGTTAATTTAAGTTTACCTATCGATAAAATACACCTTGATTAGATGCTTATTGATGTTTTCTAAGCTCATCAATAAGCTGTGCCCCTTTGGTTATTGGTTGCATTTTTGAATAAACAATGCAATTTACGTTTCAAAAGAAATCATGCGATGCAGAGCTCTACGAACTAAGCAAAATATGTTTAAGCACAAAACTAACCAAAACGAACTATTACTTAATTCGAAACAAAATTTAAATTTCAAAAATTTATAGGTAACAGTAGAGCTGGCATTTCCTTCATTAAAACTGGTGTTGTCGGACAACAGAAATCGTTTAAGCCACGACAAATTAGAAAACTTCCTTGTTTCCTTGAAAACTTCCTATACTCCTTGTTCGCCTAAACTCAACACACTTAGATAATGCTATCGACAACTTGAGTTTATTTGAAGACGACGATTAATTATTTACTAAATTTTTGAATAGAATAATAAGCCCATGACTGAATAGCACAATGTTTTAATTTTGATTTAATTAGGAGTTATTAATATTTATTTGTTGTTTCTGAATGAACTAAATATTAAATATTATTAATATTTTTTATTACCTTATTATTATTACTATGCATCTTACAAGGGTAAAGAAAAGTGGGTAAGAAAGATAGGAGGTAAAGAAAGAGGTCACACAGTGATAGTGCATAAAAATCAGGTGAGAAAAAAAAAAAAAAAACTACGATAGAGCAATAGAACATACAAAAATATTTTTTGCTCTGCTCTCGCACTAGATTTTTGGATACGGCTACGGCTACGAGGAGCACAGAATATTTTTTTTCTGCTATTGTATAGCTATATCTTCGAACTTTTCGTAGTTCGGAGCAGAGCAGAGCAGACAATTTACTTTTTTCTGCTACGGCTCCGCTCCCGCTCCCGGAAAAAGTGACAGCGGTAGCAATAGCAGATCAATATTTCTATGCATCTCGTTGCTATGGAGTAGTAAATGCAAACCCTGGTTGACCACATTCAACAGCAAAAAAGTTCAGAAAAAGGCGATTTTCTAAATAAATTAAGATTTTTTGGGTGTTACAAATATTATATTTCAATCCCGGTTTTGTGCTATATTCGACCTAATAAACAATTCCTTCTATGTCTCTTTAAAAGTTCCTTTAATTTTTTTTTTTTTCACTGTGTTATTTTTACTTAACGCCTCGGTTTCCAATCCGAATACATCGCTATATTTTTTGCATGGTTGACAGATGTGTCCGGAATTGGATAGGAAAATTTTTTTAGAGTTGATATAATACAGAATTTTCTCTATTTTCTTTGTTTGATTGAACTATAAGTTATTAATGCTGACTACTTTATCAGTATTTGTTGCTTGCTATGTATATCCTATGTTCAATTTCTTGGTTTGAAATTAATATACTGTCTTCAATTGAATCTGTTTAAATTTTACGGAATTATTACCAGAACTGAATGTTATTGGAACATAAATTGGAAATTTCAAGTTATTTGGTCTAAGTATAAGCCAATCTTCGGATAGCTTGAAGTCTAACTGACAGTTGTATTTTTTGATAAAGTCGATTCTTAATATTCCATCACAGGGAATGGCCAATTTCAAATGTACAATATGAAACTTATGTGGGATTAATATTTAGTAGTCTGTATTTCAGTGGATATTTGTCCTATGGATTTTGTAAATTCTTGACTAATTCCTTGTATGTTTATTACATAGTCGGATTTAATGTCAGGAAAAACGTCTGAATTTTCTTTGAGTATTGATATGTCTGCACCAGTGTCTATTAAAAATACAAGTTCTTTTCCGGTGGCGAAATTTTTGAAAATTATAAATGCATTTAAACTGAGATTGATAGTTTTTGCCTTATCTATTGCTGAGTATCTAAAGGTTCCTGGGAGTTTCTAGAGGCATTATGGGCTGTCCTGACGTTTTTGATATTATTATTATTATTAAAATTATTATGGTTATAATAATATATATTTTTTATTATTTCCCTCATAATTTCCTTTGAAGTTGCCTCTGTTATTCCATCTATAGTTATTATTAAGGGGGTAATAATTATTGTTTTGACCGTTATTCAGATTATTATTATTATAATAACTACTACCATTGCCTCTATCGCGATAATTATAATCGTGATAATGTGACTGTAGAAAATGGTGCTCGCATTTCCAATCATTTCTGTGCTGCAATTGATAAATTTGATCACAGCTTTGTTCGTTGTTGTGAAAGTTCCAGCTTCGAGTATTGTTTTTAATTTTTGCTGGACACAATTTATCGTTATGACCCGTATGGCTTCCTTCGTGCTAAACTTATCTGAATGCTCGTAAGACAATCCCTCAAGAATAGATATAGATTCCAACAATTTTCGAAGATTGTCAATGTCTATAGTAAATTGCGTGGCCATTTTACCTTTTAAATAAACACTGGCCATTTTTGCTTTAATTACATCAGAGGTTTCGCCTTCATAATAATCTGTTAACTTTTTTATTATAGCGCCTATAGTGGTTTCATGACTCACTTTTTGTAAGCGAGCATATTCATAATTATCCTTTGTTAGGTTAACTAAGTTAGTTCCTGTTATGAATTGTTTCAGGTGAATTTTCTTTCTAATGGCCTCTGGCTGCGGCTTCAGCTTCAACTTCAGAATTTGTATTACAACTTTCTTCTTCTAGTTCACTTGAATCAGAAAAATTTTATTCAGACGATTCTGTAAATGTCAGAGCCGCAGGTATTGTCAAATCGGTTAATTTTTTTTGACTATTTTGAGGTTTGGGGCTAAATAGAGGCTACGTTATTGATCCTCTTCCTCTATTGTAGAGGGTTTGTTTCCTGTACTTCTGCCTTCTATTGCTTTGTCTGTTTCATCAATATCTATTATTGATAGGGTATTTAATACAGACGGTATTATTATGTTTAAATCAAATTTGTTTTTGATTGAAGTCAAATTTCATTTAAGGTTTATTAAAAAATTTGACAACTGTGTCCAGTATTTCTGACTTGATTTGTCTTTGTTATTATGCATTATTATACGTAAGTCGTGAAAAAACAAGCAACTAATATTGATGAATGTTTGTTGATCGTACTTTTGCGTATTGGCCTGTTTTGTGATAGACATGTGATAGAAATTATATCTTTCAATGTATTAGTTTGCCATTGTACTATTGAAGAATGGCTTGCACTTGCTCAGGGAATTCAGGGTCCTTTCTTAAGGTTTCCCTTATGGCCCTATTTGTGGACATAATTATTTTGAAAATATATTCAATTTTTTTTTATTCGACAAGGGTTTTTACTCTTATACCTTATCCATTTCATTGGCTTGACGCATATAATGCCTTTCTATTAATTTATTATTTTTAATATAAAGGTTAAAGGTTAGAAGATAGTGATAATAAGTAAAAGGATCCACAGTGATTGAAAACTATTTGTGTGATCTATGATGCTTACTTTATTGATCACATTGGCCGTATTATCTTTAGTCTGACTATTGCTGAACCAACACATTTTTAGGAAACTCAAATTCTACATCTTTAAAACAAAAAAAAATTATTTCTTGAATATGTATATGTCGGAGATAAGTTAAATTTAATTTGAAACACTGTATTCAATGATTAATTAAAAGTTTTCATTGTATAGTTTAATAAGGAATAAATGGGCATTCCAAATGAAGAGAGAAGCTTTTTGAATATGAGCGCGGTGGGATAGGCCTGCTTAAATGAGTAAAATGAGCTGGTCGCGACTCGGAGAATTGTTCAAGAAACGCTACGAAGGCAACGAGACGCCGGCAGCAGTGTTGCTCAATAAGCTCAAGGGACGCCCCAATGCAAATGAATGCCTCTCGGTGTATTCCAGTCGATTAATTACATCGTTATTGACCAAGTGGAAATCATTGACCCATGAGGAGATTGCCATATTCCAAGTCTTGGCTCATGCATCCCAAATTGACCCCAGAGCCCCCTCCCCTCCCCCGTGTAGCGTTCACTACAAACATAAAAACACGTGCTGAATTGAAACAAAAACTCAAGGCGCACACGTTTAGCAGCATTTTAGAAATTTTCTGAAATGGAGGGACCCGAAAAGAAGAGGTTTAAAATGCAGACGCCGATTAGATGCCATAATTGCGGGAAACTTGGGCATAAGGCAATAGAGTGTCGCAAGAGGAGAACAGAAGAGCGAAACGAAATTAGACCAGGCCATAGCAACAACAGAACAACGATGGCACGAGAGAGATCAACGGTAACTTGTTTCAAATGTGGCGGCGTTGGACATATCCCGTGAGTGTGTACGAGGGGAACAGCAACAGCGAGCCGAAGC